GAAGCCCCAGCGTACCTCGCTTTGTCTCCGCATTTGCATCCCATCTGGCCATCAAGCCTGCCGCTGGCACTGGCGATGTGACTCGCGGTCTTTTTAATACTTAGAGTTAGCATCTCATTATTGACCATCTCAGCAGTGGGGTACTTCTCACATCCGAAATCATGTAGTCAGGAATGGTTAAGGTGGATTGGGAACGATACATCTAAGGATACCTCCAGAGTTCGAACTAAACCCACAATACTTGTTCGGCCACCGCATGGGAACACAGGGTATCACATAGATTAAGTATTGAACAGTCGCACATTCGTGGTTGCATGTGAAACCGGTAAATGGAGGATATTTTACACAATTATTTTTTATCGGGTCGGGATGAGCTTAGTTACCGATTGCGTCAAAATCAAAATAGAGCTAGCCTATCCTGAATAAAGTAACGCCCCTCGGACTCCTGGAAGTCAGGAGGTGACTAGAAACAGAAACCCAGGCAAAGGTATTTCTTCGCACACCTGACCCAGACCTGGGTTATCCTAGCATCGTTGGCTTCTAATCAGCCTGGTAGATTTACACATTAACGGTTCGAGTTTAGTGTGTGGTTAATAAGAGAAATCAAGTAACGTTCGTTCTTCCACACAGAGATTTGGGAGATTTGGGCATCAATATAGTCAACTGATGATAGTTAGCCTGCATGAGGTATTGGAAAGAGGTACGGGTACGAAGGCGCATGGGTATAAAATTTTCCATCCATGGTCGTTTTCTTGACGGAGGCAGACTGACGGACGATGTTCTGAGATAGTTGTCTACCAGCCAATAATAACTTAGGAAAAGCCAAATCGATCTACAATTCGATTGCTTTGTTATTCGTCAGTCGCAAAGTAAAGGCAGAATCCAGGTTGGCTAAACTAGTGTTCCCGTTTGCATTCCGCATCACAATAACCTTTATATTTTAACCGTGGCGCAAGAAAGGCGCAAGCAAGACGTACCCGACATCAGTAGCCATTTAATGCGCGTGCCAAGATTTGATTGAATCTATTTTATCAGGTATGCGTGTATGTTGTGGGTGGCAACTATTTCATACTTTTCCAAATAAGAAAAAGCACTTGCGGAATTAAACCGCATCGGTGCAGATCCTCCCTATACAAACAAACAACTCATTAACTGATAATTCGCTCGTCGATTATGGTGATGTCAAACACGAGCAGAAGGCAACGCGGTGAAGCAGGTTGAATTAGGGTGAGGCTAAAGGACAGATACCTTGATAGAGTAATAAAGACCGACATGTGGCCCAAAAAAGATTGCATCTGTCGACACGGATCCGGCTGCAGGCGAAAAAACGCCCCTGGTGTGGCAACCGTAACGGTGCCGAATTCCAGACGCGATGTAGCGACACAAGCAGCCTAAGCTAAATGACTTCAAATTCATCCACAGGACAGCAGTCCATGACTAATATAAACTAAAAGACAAGAACCAAGGAGAGGCGACCCTGTAAAGGGCAAATTTCTGGACGTGATGTCGCGACCCAAGCAGCTAAAGTCATTTGACTCTCAATT